GAAATAACAGGACAGATTTACAGCTCATAAAAAAGATGATGAAACATTTTTAATCAGCTCAACTAACAGAGATGGATTTTATGTTTTATACATAAACTTTTGTTGGACCCTCAGGTTATTTACTAGATTCAAAGAAGATCATCAGAACTCCAAAGATAACAACAACATGACAAACAGGAACAAACAGACATAAATCCTGTCTGTTATTAATGAATGAAAACAGTGCTGAGTGTGTAAACTCCTCCTCATCCTCCTCCTCCTCCTCCTCCTCTTCCTCTTCCTACTCCCCCTCCTCTCCTCTCCTCAGTGTCTTTATAAGCTTCAGTGTCTCTTCTCCTCACACTCCAACCCTGCTCACCTCTCAGCTGGACAGTAAGGGACGTTTACAGCACACACTGACAACATGCTGGGGACCCTGTGCACTCTCATCACTGCTCTAACATGTAAGGAGGCTGACTTACTGCAGCTTTGAGCTCATGTTGGATTCATCAGTCTGTGTGTTTCTCTTGACTCCATGTCATCTTGTTGTTTCCAGGTGTGAGTGCTGTGACGCTGGTGACACAGAAGCCTCCTGTTGTGACTCTGAGGAGAGGAGAGACAGCCACCATGGACTGTAACCTGGGGACTGTGACTAACAGTTATGCTCTTTGGTACAAACAGATTCCAGGAGGAGTTCCTCAGTATATTCTCAGGAACCTTCACAGCTGGAGCTCTCCAAGCTATGGCTCTGGTTTCTCCTCTCCAAAGTTCACATCCACTCATCAGTCACAAACAGATTATCGTTTGATCATCAGCACTGTGGAGGAGAGAGACTCAGCAGTTTATTACTGTCAGACATATGACAGCTCTGTTGATGAGTGGGTATCACAGTGATTTACACCGTGACAAAAACCTCCTCACTGAACACTTCTGCTTTTTGACTCTCTGACACGTTAACTAAAGCCCCCTGTAACTACCAACCAGTGTCCTCAGTGTATTCTTGATAGACCACTTTGATGTAAAAAAAAACAAAAAAACATTAACCATTTATTAACCATCAGTAAACATGAAGACATAACATATTTCATTGTTTTCAGACTCTTTTTCTTTCATTTTCATGACACTTCATTTTGAAAACCATGAAGCCACCATTCAAATAGTTTTCTGTTATATGCTGGAAAGGAGGCTCTAGCCGATTGTTGAGCCTCGGATACAGGAAGAACAATGGTGATTCCGTCCTGGTCGTGGGACAGTGGATCAGCTCTTTACCCTCGCAGAGCTTCTTGGGGGGGCATGGGAATTTGCCAACCCAGTCTCATGTCAAAATGTGTAATACCTATGTTGGTCCACAGCGCAAAACGTAGTAGTTTCACAATAAGGGCTTTAAAATTGTGACATGCCTACATTTTCTTTTGCCTATTGTTGAATTGTCTTTGTTGCATCCAGTGCATGCATGTGAATAAGAAGACAATTTATTAATTGCCAGTGGTTCATTTATTAACCGAGAGTAGACATGTGTCATTCATCAGGCATGACATGTTATAACTGCGCACTCTAGTGGTGCTGATCAGGATAAACACACACCTGCTACGGTGGCCTGTAGTAAACAAACAGAACGATCATTTAGCGAATGATCTACATCCTTACATTTTGCTTTTAGCTCTATCAGAAGCAAAAAAACACTTTGCAAAATCAACATAAAACTATTCTGTCTTACTGTACTGCTAACATGTACATCATACAGCTTTGTAGAAACTTATGGACTTTTCAATAACATTTCCACATTTAACTTGTAACTATCACAGAATCATGACATTTCTGTTAAGTTTTCTCTTTTTCAAAATACTCAACAAAATGAAACACACATTTTACTGTCCCTTTTACTTCTTTTTTTTTTCTTTAGTTCATTTTACTGAACGTATTTTGGAGTTGGTCTGCAAATGCGTCCTGAGCTTGAGATGTAAGGGGTGTTACTGTAATTACTGAGGGGGTTCTCTGTCTGTGTGAAGTGGCCTTCGAGGGGATTTGTGATGAGGTCTCAGTGTGTATGACTCTGTCAGCTGTGGAGGGAACATTATCCAATGCAGAGTGGTTCGTGTTCTGGGGCTCGAAGTCCTCTGTATACGTGGCGGTGGTGGCTCTGCAACAGGAAGGATGTGGCGGCGATTTCTCCTGTATGTTGTTCCGTTGGACTGGATGATGTAGGAACGAGGCTCTTTGCTCACCATTTTCACGATTCCAAGTTAATTGTAGCCTTTGGGAGTCTGCATTCTGACAACTTGTCCTTCTGACAAAGGTCTGAGAGGGCGACTTGAAGTGTCATAGTGGCGCTTTAAAGTGAGCCTTTTGTTGAGAAGCTGGGCATTTATTTGCTGGGTATTTTTTGGGGTAGGCTGCAACAGTTTGGTGCTCACAGGAATAGCTGTACGTGTCTGACGTGACATCAGGCGTTCAGCTGGAGAACCAAGTGTAGGATCACGGGAGATGTTCCTGAGGTTTAGAAGGTTAAGAAACACATCAGAACCGTCTCTGTAAGATTGTTCCAGCAGTTGCTTGGCACTGCGGACAGCTCTCTCTGCGAGTCCGTTTGATTGAGGGTACTCAGGGCTGCTTGTGAGATGTTCAAAATCCCATTGTCTTGCAATATCCTTAAACTGCTGACTGGTGTATTGTCTAGCATTGTCAGAGAGCAGGGTGTGAGGTGTGCCATGCACTGAAAAGTGTCTTTTTAATTTTGTGATCACAGCTGATGACGTCATGTTGTGGATAAGGTCAATTTCAAACCAACCTGAATAAGAGTCGACCAGCACTTGGTAATGTTTACCATGCCAATCGAAAATGTCTGTTGCCACTGTGGACCATGGGAGGCTTGGAACTGGATGAAGCTTAAGAGGCTCCTTTTGCTGATGAGATCTGGTGCTGTTGCACACTGCACATGAAAGCAACTCTTCAGTGATGTGTTTTGACATTGTTGGCCAAAATATGACGCTTCTAGCTCTGCGTTTTGTTGCTTCAGCACCGGGGTGTCCTTTGTGCACAATGTTAATGTACTCTCTGTGCAGGGACTGGGGAATGACAGTTTTGTGTCCTTTTATGATGATTCCACCCTCGACTGTCAACTCATCTCTGTAGGGGAAGAAGGGACGCACAGCAGGCAGGAGCTGGCTCTCTCTTGAGGGCCAACCTCACTGAATGCCTGCAGTGAGAGTCTGTAGCACCTCATCCTCCGCTGTGTGCTTTCTAAGTTCTTCCAGGCGGGCTGTGGAAATGTAACTAACAGACATCACTTCAAAAGTGTCATTTTCAGCAGGGCTCTGGGGAACTTTTGTAGTCGGGGCTCGTGAGAGGGTGTCTGCGAGGTACATGTGTTTACCTTTTTTGTCGACTAAGTTGATGTCATAGCTTTGCAAGTGTAGCATCATTCTTTGGAGATGGGCAGGGGCAGAGTTGATCGGCTTCTTTAGGATTGTCACCAAAGGTTGGTGGTCTGTTTCCACCGTTATGGGCTTACCATAAACATAGTCTCTGAACTTTGTGCAGGCAAACACGACAGCTAGCAGCTCCTCCTCAATTTGAGCATAACGAGTCTCTGTGTCGTGATGTACGTGATGCAAAGGCAACGGGTTTGCCGTTTTGAAGGCATGCAGCTCCTAGTCCATAACAAGATGCATCGCATGTTAGTAACATCATAATATGACAGTACAGGTGGGCTTGACAGACACGACTTGAGACGTTCAAATGCTTCCTGATGCTGCTGGAACCAGCCCCATGCAGTTTCTTTATGAGTCAGTTTTCTCAGTGGTGAGGCAATGTCACTGAAGTTCGGGATGAACTTGCCAAGGTAGTTGACCATACCAAGGAAACGCTGTACTGAGGTGACGTCTGTGGGGACTGGCATGTCTGTGATGGCTGCAGTTTTAGCAGGGTCTGCTTTAAGTCCTCCACTTGTGAAGACGTGACCTACATAGCCAACGTGGTCCAGGTGAAATTTGCATTTTGCTGGATTAAGCCTGAGGTTTATTTCTTTTACTCTTTCAAGCACTCTCTTTAAGTTAGCATCATGCTCAGCTACATCACGGCCTCCGATGATGACGTCGTCGACGATAACTGAACATGGATAACCTGCTAACAGTTGTTCCATGAAACAATGAAATCATATAAATCACACAAACTGTATAGTATTGTCTTTATGTATTGTTACATGTTATAGTTTATAATGTTGCTAATATGCATCGATCTGTTCCAATCGTTTTATTAAATTTGGTTGTAATGTAAGACATCCATGAAAATGTAACAGAAATCATTAGTTATTGCATAGGAGCTTAGTTTGATGTCTATGGTCTGATGTTAACCCGTTTTAAGAGCCGCAAACCGAACGTCCACTTCCTACGTTCGTTGTTGATAGCATCCATAGCTACCACCATAGCAACAGTAGAAAACGTAACAGTCCAACGATTTTCTAGCGAGACCTGAAAGAATCTTAGTAGAAACGAACAAACTAAAGATCATAAACATAAACTGAACGAAGATTATGAAGATACAATGTACATTTGTCGCCAGAAAGGTTATCAAAATGACACTTAAGCCTCAAACTATCTTAAAATATTGCATTGAGTCTCTTTCACATTTAACGCTCCTTGTAACTGCTCTACTCTAGAATGTGACATCCAATAAGTGTCCTAAATGTATTCTTAAAGGACAGAAACCTCGTCTCATTTATTACTACACATAAGAAGAAAAAACTTTAGTCAGTGTCTATGTTCATCTTTTCTGCATGTTGATATAAACAGTTGGACTGAAGTTAAGTTGGTTGAAGCTACTAAAACTATATTTTTATCCATGAAAAAATAGCTTTGATTGTAGTACAAAATGGAAAAGATACAAAACTAAACACATAGATTCATTCTTTATCTCTGGAAACATTGAAAACCAAGAGGAGCTTGTATTTAGAATATAAATCACACAAGTGAAGAGAAAAGAAAAGAAACCATCTTGTGATGTTTGTGTTTTAAAATCATGACAAACACTATCACCTCCAAATGAATGTGACATGAATATGATATTAGTGTGTACAGAGTGAAGGGAACTTTAATACGATGCAGAAGAAGATCATGTTTGTGTCTCATTATGAGTTTCTGTTGATTTTTATGACTAATAACAGAAGTAACAGGACAGATTTACAGCTCAGAAAAAAGATTATGAAACATTTTTAATCAGCTCAACTAACAGAGATGGACTTTATGTTTTATACATAAACTTTTGTTGGACCCTCAGGTTATTTACTAGATTCAAAGAAGATCATCAGAACTCCAAAGACAACAACAACATGACAAACAGGAACAAACAGACATAAATCCTGTCTGTTATTAATGAATGAAAACAGTGCTGAGTGTGTAAACTCCTCCTCCTCCTCCTCCTCTTCCTCTTCCTCTTCCTCTTCCTCCTCCTCCTCCTCTCCTCAGTGTCTTTATAAGCTTCAGTGTCTCTTCTCCTCACACTCCAACCCTGCTCACCTCTCAGCTGGACAGTAAGGGACGTTTACAGCACACACTGACAACATGCTGGGGACCCTGTGCACTCTCATCACTGCTCTAACATGTAAGAGATTCTTCTCAGTCCTTTCACACACCATCATTTCACACACAAACCTTTCACTCATGTCTTTTTCTCTGTGTGTGTGTTACAGATGTTGATGCAGTGATAGTGCTGACCCAGACGCCTGCTGTCCACACAGTTTCTACAGGACAACAAGTTGTTCTTCAATGTAACATCCAGAGAGATGATAGTAATTATGTCAGGTGGTACAAACAGGTTCCTGGTGAAGCTCCTCAGTATGTTCTGAGATTTTACCACTCTCACAGCTCACCTGACTTTGGATCAGGATTCTCCTCAGACAGATTCAACTCTAAATCTTCATCAAACATAGATTATCAGTTCATCATAAAGAGAGCAGAGACAGGAGACTCTGCTCAGTATTTAGTATTTTGGATTTAAAGGAGGGCTCTGATTAGACATGACTCATGACTTAATCTTCCAACACCCCTTGCAACCAGCAGTCTTACTCTGAGTTGTGTTCGATTGAACTCCGCCGGCTGGTCCCGAGTTTCAGCCTCCGGCCAGCGGTTCTTTTCAGGCCCAGAGAGGTCCACGGGCCAGATTAGATGACTTGACACCTGGGTCTGAGTGTGCAGCTGGGATGGAGATTGTATGTCGGTTCAGCCGTCGTCTCAGAAGCTCCAAGAGGATCCAACAGGAAAAATATTAAAGAGTCTTTTGATACGTCAATTTCCAATTCAGATTAACCGGATGGCCATCTCGATGAATCCAAACTAAGGAATTGATGTTCAAAATTGAAGAGCAAAGACTTTAGAGAAGAAAGTTCAAAAGCCTTGCTTAAGCCAGAAAGAATTGATGTTTCCAAAAATTGTGCGTTGAAAATAACAGTTCGGCAGAGAGTCGTCTCTGTGTGTATGTATTTGTGTGTGTCTATATTTGTGGTAGTGAATATCAGGGGTTTGAACTGTGTTGTTCGGGAAGCAGTGAGGCACACATTAAGACACACACTTACACTTACACACAAACACACACATAAATACTCATACACACACAAACACACACACACACATTAAGACACACACACACATAAAGACACACACACACACTTACACACAAACACACACATAAATACTCATACACACACAAACACACACACACACACATTAAGACACACACACACATAAAGACACACACACACACTTACACACAAACACACACATAAATACTCATACACACACAAACACGCACATAAAGACACACACATAAAGACACAGACACACATCTTATTTTTTTTTCCTTTCTGTATAACTATCACAACTTATTTGTGAATTTATTTTCCTCTTACTATCAAATTTAATCTTTTTTTTATTACTATTATTATTATTATTTTCCTTTGCCACCACTTTATTATGACGTATTTATTGATTTATTTCCTCTCTCCCCCTTTATATTCATATCATATTCATCATCATGAATTCTCATCACAGCCACTCTCATTTTTCATGCATTTCTTTTAATTTTATTTATTTCTGTTTTCTTTCTCTTTCTCCATCCAGATGATTGTCTGTTTTTCTTTGGTTGCCTTGTTTTATTCAATATTTATGTATTTTCTGTTTCTCTTATAATTACTATCGCTATCACCCCGTGCCAACAAACCTTTGCTGTTTTTTTTGTTTCTTTTTACTATTATTATCATAATTACTACTGTCCACTCTTGTCTATCAAATATTGATATTATCTCTATTATTTACCATTATTTACTGTTATTATTATTATTATTTTCTCTTTCTTGCTTTATATATATTTATTTCTTTTTTATTATTATTATTATTTATTTAGTACTATCATCATTATTATCATTTTCCTCTCTTTCTGGTATTAGTGGTATGTTGAGGGGGGGGAAGAAGGCAAGAAAATGATAATTAAAATGATACACTAGCAAATCATAGTCAAACAATCTGGACGAATTACATTATTATTCTACAATTCTACAGTTCTACAATTCACTTAGCAGACGCTTTTATCCAAAGCGACGTTCATCAGAGAGTAAGTACAACACAAGCAAGGATCTAGAAAAAAGGGAACAATGTCAGTAAGAGCAAACGATCAGCTTTGAGTCCGATTGGACACACAGGTGCTGACAGGCATTGCACAGAGGCAAAGCACAACATTGACGGCAGTTCTTGAGAGCTCTAATCAGTATAGAAACCATCTTATAAGTCATCGTTATCAAACAAAAACAATCGTCACAACCATCATCATCATCAATGATATTGAAACCATCATCATTAAGTTAGTAGGTATTCATGAAAGAGCTGGGTCTTTAGCTTTTTCTTAAAGGTGCAGAGGGACTCTGCATATCGAATGGAGTTTGGAAGTTCATTCCACCACCGGGGGGCAACAGAGGAGAAGAGTCTAGTCAGAGACTTAGGACCCTGTTGTGAAGGTTGGATCAGACGCCTTTCATTGGCAGAGCGTAGTGGGTGGGAGGGAGTGTAGACCTAGATGACAGAGTTAAAGTAAGGAGGAGCCGTTTTTGTCGCTGTTTTGTAAGCGAGCAGCAGAGTTTTAAATTTGATGCGAGCAGTAACTGGGAGCCAGTGTAAGGAGATGAACAGCGGAGTGACATGTGCTCTTTTAGGAAGGTTGAAGACCAGTCGTGCTGCTGCATTTTGTATCATTTGCAGAGGTTTGATAGTGCATGTAGGAAGACCTGCCAGTAGAGAGTTGCAATAATCAATGCGTGATATCACAAGAGCCTGTACCAGGAGCTGTGTAGCGTGTTCTGACAGGTAAGGTCTGATCTTCCTGATGTTGTTCCACCCTCGTTAAAGAGTCCCCTTACTCAACTAGACAGACAGATAACTCCTTCCACATTCCGTAGTCAATAAATGTTGATTTATTTGCGTGCCATCATTAGTCATTGACAGAATGCAAAATGGAGTAAAACTGTAATAAAGTAAAAAGAAACAATCAGTTATGATACACACGATCAATAAACATATCTGTGTAGTATAACATGCTTGTCAATGTCAATCAAATTAACAGTATGTGACTGAAAATATATCTGACCGAAAACTATCACCTAGCGAACAAGGTATACTGCAGAACACAAAAATCATGGTCTAACATAGCCATCTGCATAAAATGAAAGCATGGTTGTGAAAAGAAACATCTTAATCACACTTTACTCACAGACAATGATGATACAGTTCCTTCTTAGTCCAGGATGGATTTAGATCCTTCATAAGGCAAGTGTCCACAACATGCTCTTATCAATGAATGAGAAACCCAAAATGGCCTCCTAAAGTGAGCCATGAGGTCCAAAAAACTCAACAACAAATGTAACACCCCCTAGTGGCTGCAAGGTGACCTACAGCTCCTTGCTAAGGCCAGAACAGATGTTGTACAGTGCAAATCGATATGACCAGGCAATCGAGGCTACTTGAACCTTAAAAGTTAGCTGGTCATCAATTATGACACCCAGGTTCCAGGCAGACTTTGTGGGCATGAGTTTGGTTGTTCCAAGCTGGATATTGATCTGTGGTTGCATAGAGGGACTGGCTGAGATGACAAGGAGCTCAGTCTTTGAAAGATTGAGTTGAAGGTGCTGTTCATTCATCCATTTAGAGATATCAGCAAGGCATGATGAGATTCTTGCAGAGACTGTAACATCGTCTGGCGGGAATGACAGGAAGAGCTGGGTATCGTCAGCATAGCAGTGGTATGAGAAGCCATGAGAGCGGATTATTGAACCAAGTGAGCTTGTCTATATGGAGAAGAGAAGGGGACCAAGCACTGACCCTTGAGCTACCCCTGTGGATAAGCTGTGCATTTTGGACACTTCTCCCTTCCATGACACTCCCTTCCACTGACCCGCAGCTCTGGCAGCTCATAGCAATTCTGTTACTGACAGTAGTGCAGTTTCAGTAGAGTGGCCCTGCTTAAAGCCTGACTGATTTGGATCAAACAGATCGTTTCTGGACAGGAACTCAGAGACTTGCTTAAAGATTGTGCGCCAAGTATTTTTGACGGAAAGGGCAGAAGAGAAACCGGTCTGTAGTTTTCAACATGGGCAGTCAGAGAGGAGAATTAATCGAGTTAGGTGCTTTTGGTTGGTGCCTTTGGGCTGAGTTGGTCAGGCTCAGAAAACTGGTTACTGATGGTTGCAACCTTTTCACTAAAATACGAGGCAAACATGTCTGGTGTGAACAGATTGGAGGGTGGAGGAGGAGGTGGTTGAAGCAGTGAGTTAAAAGCAGAAAACATTTTTCTTGTATCTGTGGCATTGTTCTGATAATATGTTGTCTTGGCTGTTTTCAGGCTGGAGGAGAATGAGACAAGTCTTTGCTTATAGTCATTGAGGTCAGCGGACTGTTAGGATTTTTGCCATTTTCTCTCTGCTGACCTCAGCCCTGCTCTTTGCTCTCTTATGACTTCCGTGAGCCATGGGCTAGGGTGGATTTTGCGAGCGGGT